AGGAGACTGTGGGGGAGGTGCTCTCCCACTGGGCCAATACTCACACTGGTGAGCCTGAGAACTGGGACTGGGGGCAGACCAGGCCCGACAGGGCTATCACACCTATTAACCTGCATGTGAGTTGGGTTAGTGGGAGAGCCAGGCTGAATTGACCCATTGTATCCACTGGTGTAGGCACGAGCCAGAGTAAGGGCAGGTGGGTTGGGCTTTGCTGCAGGATCAGCTGGCAAGTGCTGGGACTGGGAGCAAGTCCTGTCAATCTAGACTGCAGAACCACCTGAGAAGTATAAGATCTGGGGTGGGGAGTGGGTCCAGTAAGGAAAGTATGGGCACCTCTCTGATGGGCTCCAACTCCCACTGGTGAGCATGAGAACAACCAGGGCTGGGGGCAGGCCTGCCGGCATAAGTGTTGGCTGGATAGTGGGGACAGTTGGGTTGAGTTAAGCTTCAATGCTCATTGACGTGTGCAAGAGCTGAAAGGGATGTGGGACAGACTGGGTCAGTCTGCTGCTGTACATATTGGCAAGGAACCAGGCCTGGGTTGGGCCTAGTGGGGGGTATAGGGTCACTCCAACTAGGCTGCAGTTCACTCTGGTGTACATGAGAGCCAAGTGTGTGGTGGGTAGGGTTGGGCTGGGCTGCAGTATCCATTGGTTTAATACGAGATGGGGTTGGAGACAAAACTGACCCAGCAATTGCAACTAACAATATGTGTGTAGGCTGATGTGGGTGACAGATTGAGCCAGACTCCATATTGGCAAGCACACACAAGAGTCAGGTCTGGGACCACCTCAGATGAGGTTTGTTTGGGGATTCTGCCCAACTGAACCGCTGGACTCAGAACTCCAACCTTGGGGAGAATTATAGGATCTGCGGTCTGACCATGGAGTACGTGTGTCAGAACTGGGCCTCCTCAGTGGCTAAGACAGAGCAGTGGATGACATGTCCAAATGCACATGGGGAATATGATGGTCTGATGGGGCCTGCAGAGAACACCTGGTACCATAGCAGAAGATGGAGGGCAGAACAAACTGGACAACTCCTGCAGGCAAGCATTGACGCAAATATCTGGGCAAATGGAGACCCTAAGGTGGACTGTGTCAGTGAATGGACTTTGAAAGGATTTCCTCATCCTTGGAGTAATGAAATCAACAGCATTTCAGAACATCAAAATCACTTGAGCAGAATCCTTGGAGCAGCTCTACCATGGGGACCCTGGGATAACATCAGATGACCGTACCCCATCCCCAGGTACTAGGGCAGTTGGGAATCTGAGTGCAGCTTCTTTCCTAATCTTTCCCCTTCCCCCAGATACAGGAGGAAGAAAGGGAAATTTTGGAAACAATGATTTCACCCGCTATCCACTAGTCCTCCACTCTTCCTACCCTGGTCAACGATGTAAAACACCAAAAAATTAAAAACAAAAAAAAAAGGATGACCCAAATGCTTGGGATCCTGCATGCATGTGGGAGACCTGGAAGAAGCTCCTGGATCCTGGTTTTGGTCTGATCCATCTTGGCTATCACTCTGTGATGCTGGGCTTCAGAAAAAGAGCGTTGTGTTCCTGGGCAGAAGGAGACGGGTTCAAAGCCAATTCTGCCATTGGTGGTGGAGGTCGGGGACAGCAGAGGGGAGTCTGGGGAAATTCTAGAGATGATGTAGGAGTGAGCTGGGGTGTGCAAATGTAGGCATGTTCTGGCTGGAGGGGCTTGGAAGCAGGCCAGCAAACACTTGTTCTTGACTGTGGCCGCCCAAGACCTTTCGCCATCTGGTCACCCTGGCTGCAGCCCAGACCACACCTCCTGCTGGCATCCGCTGTTTGCTGCCAACTGCCCTGTTGTCCTAGTTATTTCCAAATTCGTCACACACACACACACTTCTCACTTGTGGCTTTAGAGTTTCTCTCTTATTTACTCTGTTCGGACTTCAAAAAGCTGGTGGAAAGTGAGGAATTATGAGAAAACTGCATGTACCAAAATGAAGTTGTGTTTTTGTTCCATTTTCCTATGAACATGTTATATTTTTATTTATTTTGCAAAGTAGAAGAGAGAGAGAAAACAAGAATAACAGAGATAGATAGTCCTGCCACTGCTTTATTCTCTAAATCCTGACCACACCCAGCTAGGCCAGGCTGAAGCCAGGAGCTTCTTTCAGATCTCCCACATGGATGGCAAGTTCAAACACCTGGACCACTCTTTGCTGTTTTTCCCAGGCCATTAGCAGGGAGTATAAATGGGAAGTGGAGCAGCCAGGACATGAATTGCCACCTATCCTAAGTGGCAGCTTTACCCACTGTGCTATAGTGCTGGCTTCTAAATAAATCTTTAAAAATTAAAATGTAGGGCCCAGCACAGTAGCCTAGCAGCTAAAGTCCTCACCAGGATCCCATATGGGTGCCGGTTCTAATCCCGGCAGTCCCACCTCCCATCCAGCTTCCTGCTTGTGGCCTGGGAAAGCAATCAACGATGGCCCAAAGCCTTGGGTTCCTGCACCCACATGGGAGACCTGGAAGAGGCTCCTGGCTTCAGTTAGCTGAGCTCCAGCCATTGTGGCCATTTGGGGAATGAACCATCAGATGGAAGATTTTCCTCCTTGTCTCTCCTCCTCTCTGTATATCTCACTTTGTAATGAAAAAAAAAAAAAAAATTAAAATGTAGACCAGAACGACAGGTGGGAGGTGTGGTGTCCTGCTGCCTTGTCTCCCTGGATATCGAGTCACCACAAGGGACAGATGCAGAGGCCTCAGCCCCGGCCCCAAGGTGGCCTCCTTGTGTCTGGGAAGGACAGGGGCGGCGTCAGGACACCCCTTAGGGTCTCTGTCCTAAGAGAACCCCAAGCTGTTCCCCTCAGACAGCTCAGGACTGCCATCTTGACTTGTGCCCTGTTTGGGCAAGACTATGTGTTCAGCTCCCCTGGGACCAAGGATAGTGAGAGAAACAGAGAGAGCCAAGAGGGAGAAAGGAGAGGAAGGCAGAGAGAGAGAGAGAGGAAGGTGGCAGGAGCCAAGCAGAGCAGGCACAGTGGGGTGAAGCGGTTGTGCTTGTCTTGAATGTGAGGATGAAAGGAGAGGAGCAAGGAGGTGATGGCACGCACTGGCGCTGCTGGCTGGGGGCCAGCGAGGCTCCCGGAAGCTCGCCGCCCTACTTCCGGCTCCGCAGGGCGGGACTCCCCTGGCTATCAGCTCCAGATGGTCAGCCTGGCCTGGGCGAGGGAAGGGAGTGGGATACCCCAAGACACAGGTCATGGGGCATCGATCAATAAGTGATGCTGCTCCCTCCAGCCCCTCCCTGGGCTCCATCCTTCCGTCCACAGCTAACACCACCTGTTGACTCACAGGAGTCACTTCGGGGGCAATCCTGGGGAGTTCACCTCTTGTCTGACTCAGGAGTGGGCCCTCAGGACATGAGGCGGGGAGCCATCAGTCCTACCCAGCAGGTGCTGGGGGGGGGCTGCCATCTGACATCCACCTCACAGGTGTGTCAGATCCAAGGGGTGAAGCAGAAACCCCAGGAAGTACCTCAGTGTCTGGGACTGCAAAGCCCAACCCCATCCCAAGGGGACCCTGAGTGCCCTCAGTCCTTCAGCTGCCAGGAATGGGGGTGCAGACTGCAGCCTGAAGATTTTCTGCTGGCTCCAGGGTGTTCTCCATGAGATTCATCAAACTTTGGCATTTCGGGGGCGGGGGAGGGTTGAGGACAGTAAAGTATGAGTGAAGGGAAAACAGAGAGTATTTGACAAGTTGTGGGTACCCCCAACTTGACCTTGTGTTCTCAACTTGGGTGTTTGTGGGGGGTAGTATCTGTTTCCACAGAAGTCAGGTGCAAGTGAATGCACCTGCAGATTGCTTAGAGGAGTGGCGGCCTTCCACACCACATGCTAGAGGCGGCCAGCTCATCTGGTCACCCACAGCCCGTGGTGACCATGGCTTACATTTATTCTGCCCCTTCTGACATTTGGCACAGATGGGTCCCCATCTTGCCACCTCTCATGGCGGGGGGCAGGGCAAGATGTTCTAGACCCTGCCTAACACCTGATTCTAAGAAGTTGACCGTGTTTGTTCAGGAGGTGAGGTTCACCTGACAAACAGTTAGGGAGGAGGGCTTGGGGCTGGTATAAAAGTTCTGCAAGTCTTGAAGGGGTTACCTAGCACCCGAAGCTTCCAGGTGAGGGGGTGATAGGGATTCCTGGGCCTGCCTTGGGCAGGATTCTAATCTGATTTGTGGAAGGGGCTGAGTGGCAGGACAGACTCGAGTGGGAGAGCCTGAGCTGAAGCTCTCCCAGCAGCAGTGGTGTGCAGGGGTCCGGTGAAGGGCTAGGAACCACCAGCACCTTCGGGTGACTGGAGGAGGCCAGGTGTGTGTCAGGTGGATAAAGCATGGTGAAGGAGACTAGGGCTCTGGCATCCAGTGCCTTGAGCTGCTCCTGACTCTTCAAGGTTACCCAGTGCCACCCAAACAGCTTGGGCACTGGCTGCTGGTATCATGTCCCCTGCCACCATTTGCAATGTCAGGTGACACAAAGGCCCCTTTTGTGTCTGATCTGAGACCAGCACAGGGTTAGGGATCTAAATCAGACCCTGTAACAGAGACCAAGCGACTGCAGCTTGTTGGCTTTTGCTTATGTTCTGGTTTCAGCTATCCTGGTGCTTTGGCCGCGTCCTACTCACCCTTCAGACAGTGTCCTTCCTGTCTGGGTCAGGACAGCAGGTGGCACAGCTCTCTCCAGAGAGGGAGGACTGAACTCCTGCTTGGAGAGGGAAAAGGAGCCATTGGTTGTAGCCCAACCAGAGGGCCAGAGGCGTTGGGGTCCTGGCAGATCAGACCTGGAGGAGGGGACTAGAGGCCACAGGACAGTTTCTGAAACCTCCAGCCAGGCTCTGGTTAGGTGGAGGCTGAGGGACCAGACAGCCCTCAGTCTGTCCCAGAGCCCAGGACCACCCCGGGGTTTAGAACAGCCACCCTCATCCCTTCATTGTCTCTTTTCTTGCCTTGCAGCTCACGATGCAGACCTTGGTTCTCCTAGCCCTTCTCTGCGCCTCGGCCTCGGCCACTGCCAGTAAGTGAGACGCTGAGGGGTCTGGTGACAGCATCATGGGAGGGATGAGGGGCGTGGTCCCTAGCACTACTGTTGGCCAAAATTTGTAGAGGTTGGCACTGGGCACTGGGCAATTTTGCCTGCAACCTCTCCTTCCCACTGCAGTCCAGGCCAGGTCTTCATCCTACAGTGGGGAGTACGGAAGCGGTGGAGGGCAGCGGTTCTCTCACTCGAGCAACCAGCTGGAGGGCCCCATCACCGCCATCCGCATTCGAGTCAACTCTTTCTTCATCGTGGGGTAAGACTGTGAAAGCCATTCCATGGCTTGGGGGACTCTTATTACATCAGGGCACCAGGAAATGGCAAAAGTTATTAGAGGCCTTGGACTCAGATCTATGCCTTTGCAACTCCTTCCTCCCCTAAATGCCAGTTTCTTGAGGGACTGAAAATTGACCAACTCAGCGCCCCTGCCCCCCCAAGGTTCAGTGCTCCTCTTCAGTAACATGCTTGCTCCTTACCCTCCAAGCCTGCTCAGTGCTTCTCCTGAGATAGTCCCCACTTCGTTAAGAGCTGGGAAATTCCGTCACATGCAAAGCCAAATGTGGCTCCGAGTCCTTAGGTTTAGCCACTGAGCCACCGCTCTGGGCCTGGCTCCCCGGGTCCTTGGATCTGCAGCTTGGGGCAGCCTGGATATCTCTTCCTCTCTCACACAGGAGCCCCTTAGCTCCCTCTGCTTCTTTCAAGTGGAGGGATGGGGGACACAGTAAAAGTCTAGACTCCAAAGTGAAACAGCCCTGATACTTGCTGCACCGCTGACCCTGAAGTTTGGAGGGTTCCATGTGCAGGCCAGGGGATCCTGCCATTCTGATAACCCTAATAATCAGGGTTTCCCTTTCCACCCTCCCACCCTATCCCCTCAGTCTCCAGGTGCGCTATGGCAAGGTGTGGAGTGACTACGTGGGTGGCAAACTGGGGGACCTGGAGGAGATTGTCCTGCACCCAGGGGAGTCGGTGATCCAGGTGTCCGGGAAGTACTTCCTCTTCCACGTGACGAAGTTGGTCTTTGTGACAAACAAGGGTCGCTACCTGTCCTTCGGGAAGGACACAGGAGTGAGCTTCAACGCCGCGCCCCTGTATCCCAACACTGTGCTCCGCTTCGTCAGCGGCCGGGCTGGTTTATTCCTCAACGCCATCGGCCTGCACTGGGACAACTACCCCACGTGCTGAGATGCAATGTGAATTCCCTGATGTCTGTTCCCATCCAAATGGCTCAATAAAAGGACATGTCTAAAGCTGGTGTGAATGTGGGCATGTGTGCAGCTGCGACGTGCGAAATCTCATTTCCAGCCACCTGCTGGACATCAGTCAGGAAGGAGTTGGGAGCCCAAGGGAGAGAGGCATAAGAATTCAGAGTTTTTCCTTACAAGGTGACCTGAGGAGATAAGATGCTGGCTTGCACCAACTCTTCAACTCTTGAGGATGCTTTTCCAAACAGGGGTTCTGAGATGGGGAGACAAGGTGCAGTCATGGTGCATGGCCCAAACCCCAGATGTGCCTCTGGCCCCTTTGAGAACTGCCTTATTGGCCACAAGGCTGCCGCCTCACCTTGACCTTTCCCAGCTCACTGTAGGTGGCCTGGACCATTTTCCTTTTTCTTTCCCAGATCCTCTCGCTCATCATTCCCCTTAAGCCCTGGTGCTCCTGCTTAGCTCTTCCAGAACTGGTACTGTGGGTCAGGGATCCAGCCTGGTGGTCAAGAGGCTGGTTGGCACATCCATGTCCCACATCGGAGGGATGGATTTGATTCCTAGCTCCGGTGCCTGACTTGACCTTCCTTATGCAGATTCTGGGAAGCAGAAGTGATGGTGTGGCGGTTGGGCTCTTGCCTCCCACAAGGGAGTCCCACATCAAGCTGCCCTCCCACCTCTAACAGAAAATAACAACCAGTGTCTTTCCTTGGGGCCCCACCATTTCATTAGTGCAAACTGCCTATGCCATTGTATAAGGGAAAATCTGGGGCTGGTGCTGCCACTCGGGACACCCACACTCCATATCCGAGTGCCTGAGTTCAAGGCCTGGCTCCACTTTTGATTTCAGCTTCCTACTAATGCTACCCTAGATTGAATTCCAGGCTCCTGGCTTCAGCCTGGCTGTTGTGGCATTCAGGGACTGAGCCAGTGGATAGGAGCTCTACGTCCTCCTTTGAAATGAAGTGAAAATAGGGGTCGGTGTGTTGGTTCAATTGGCAATCTTCCACATCCAAGTGCTGGCATCCCACATGGACACCAGTTCATGTCCAGGTTGCTCTACTTCTCATCCAACCTCCTGCTTGTGACCTGGGAAAGCAGTATAGGATGGCCCAAAGCCTTGGGACCCTGCACCTGCGTGGAAGACTCCAAACAAACCCCTGGCTCCTGCCTTCAGATCAGCTCTGCTCTGGCTTTTGCAGCCATTTGGGGAGTGAACCAGAGGATGAAAATCTTTCTCTCTATAAATCTGCTTTTCCAATGAAAATAAATAAATAATAAATAATTTTTTTTTTAAAGTAAAAATAGGGCCCGGCAGTGTGGCCTAGTGGCTAAGGTCCTCACCTTGAATGTGCCGGGATCCCATATGGGCACTGGTTCTAATCCTGGTAGCTCCATTTCCCATCCAGCTCCCTGCTTGTGGCCTGGGAAAGCAGTGAAGGACAGCCCAATGCTGTGGGATCCTGCACCTGGGTGGGAGACCTGGAGAAAGTTCCTGGCTCCTGGCTCCAGATTGGTGCAGCACCAGCCTTTGTGCTCACTTGGGAAATGAATCATCGGATGGAAGATCTTCCTCTCTGTCTCTCCTCCTCTCTATATATCTGACTTTGTAATAAAAATAAATAAATATTTTTTTTAAAAAGAGTAAAAATAATTTTTTCAAAAGGAAATTCCAAAGTAGACAAATTTTCACCTTTGGTTGGCACCAGTGTATCAGGGGTTGGTGTTGCTTTTGTGGTGGCGCCTGGCCCCAGCCAGCGTGGTGATGACTGTACCTCTCCCTAGAACGTGTATTCAAACCTGAAAGACAACTCCAGAGATCGTGCTTTGAGGCTCTCCTGGTAGAGTCGCATCTGAAGACTTTTGAGCTGCTTAGAGTCTTAGCCAGTGAAAACCAACAGACCCAGGTTCAACCATTTTTGTCAAGATTATCTCAAGGGGAGGGGTGGAGTGCTTGTCCATTTGGAGGCACCCAGGTTCCCATAACAAAACCAGCCTCTGCTGCTTAACTTAGTGAAATGGCTATTTTTACAACACGTAGTGTCACTCAATTCTTTTCATACAAAAAAGCCAGTCTCGATCTTGAACTACTGGAGTTGCTGAGCTCATAGGGGCACTGTCTGGTGGGCGAGGCTGACTCAGCAGGTGGCGAATTCCTACGGGAGAAACCTCTGCAGCAGGTGCACAATGCAGGGCAACACATGTGGCCTTGGGCTCTGCAGGAAGGCGGGGGCGCTGACTGTACAGGAGCCTGCAATCCACTAAACAGCTCCTGCCCGGTCCCCCCACCCAAGGGACTGAAGCCACTAGGAGCAAGGTGGCATAGCGCAGGTCACTCTTACCCGTCGCCAGGCATCAGTTTCCTTGTTTGCTGGGAGTGAGAGAGGAGTTAGAGTGGGTAGTAGGCAGTTAGGGTATTCTGGGTCTCCAAGTAAAAGAGAATTTCCCCACCATGTCTTGGATTCACCAGGTCTTCCAAGGGACAGGGGTGCTATTAGCATATCAATTCCCCACCTGAAGTATTGGCCACTACCTCTGGCCATTGTGGGAGGGCCTCAGGCTGATCTCTTTATCATTGAAAGTAGAGCAGGAAGAAGTAATACACATCTGCCTAAGGCCTGGAATGTCCTATGTCTGGCACCTCTGTGGCCTTTTGTCCCAAGGCCAGGTACCATGGAAACCAGGAATTTTCTTTGTTCATGGAGAAACATCTTTGAGGGAAACCTTTAAAAGGTGCATTCCCCACCATTCATACGGGTTCTCATTTTCCTCCTGCCACTATGGCAGAGCAGTAGGGTCTTTTTACTCTTCCTCCTGCCACTGTGGCAGGGGGTAAGGGTCCTTTCTATCTCAAAACCCCCTCCCGTCGCTAGGACGGGAGTCTTCTCTTCTCAGCCTTTCTAATAAATCTTGCTTTAAAACTAAACTGTGCCCGCATGAAAATTCTTCTTTCCTGTGAGACAAGAATTTGAGGTTGTTGCCATACTCGGAGTCAAAAATCCTGCAACAGGAGCACCTATGCTGCTAGGTGCTGGAGTCCAGCTCCAGCTGAGTTCGGAACTCGCGAAGGGTGCGTGGATGAGGCGCAAAGAAAGAAAGAGACGGACCACTAGGAACTCTTCATCATCATAATGGACCACACACAAAAGCTGTCCGCTTTATTTATACAAAATCAGTCAAACTCTGGCTCAGACGTTTTACGTCATGGTCAAGTGGGTGTTTCTAAAGATAACTCTGCCATTTGTTTCACCTAAGGCTAGAATGTTAACCACCTGGTGCCTGGCACCTGGCGCCTGGCTAGGAAAAGGTTCTCAATAGATGGTGCATATCAGTCACTAACACATTCCTACCACAATTACTTTACAGCTTGGTCTTGAGATAGTCAAGGAAGGAAGGGACCTAAAAGATCAAAGAAAGAGGGAAAGAATAGATTCCCACTACACCTGAAGACAGAACACCTTTGATTAGCATAGGATCAAAAGGGGGAGTTAGCACCCTTGATTAGCATACTGCCACAGGATGCAGCCCTAACAGCGATAATAGCTCTTTGGCTAAAAACGGAACCAGCAACATTAGCTTCTAAGTTCCTATTGATATTTAACAGTAACTCCGCAGAGGCAGGCAATGCCTACATAGATTACAGAATACTCAGTGGGGTTGTCCGGTGTCCATGCAAAGGGAGGCAGAGCTGCATTCAGGTGTTGTAGAGACATCCGCCAGGCCTTGCCATACAGCGGGAAGTTCCTTGCGACCTTGCCTGCAATGGAACATACTCTTCACACCTTCCTGTCTTCCACACCCATCACACGGACCCCAGCAAGGATGGAACTGCAGGTTAGAGCCCACTCAAAGACCCACTCACTCACATACACTTGTCCTGTGTCGGCCGACGCGGCTACCCCTGAGCACAGACTTACCCATCCAGACGTGGCCCCTTTCCCACCGGAGGCGTCTGCGTCCCTGGGTCCGCGGTCCACGCCCAAGCCTCGGAAGGAAACCCCGACATCGGCGGGGGCTTGTGCTTTGGGGTCCCCAAGCCCGGGTCGCGGGCTCCGGACCCGGGAGGCAGGCGACTTCGGGGACAGCAGGACCCGTGGTCTATCCCGTTCTTGAACAGACCACCAGGGAGTCGCCAGCCACCTGTGGACAAGGAAGGACGGAGATTCCTCCCAGACCGTCAGCCTGGATCATTCCAAAATGGCTGAGCCCCTCCGGTGTGTTCTGTCAAGCTTTAAATAAGAATGCGGACGCAAGCAAGGACGGGCAAATGCAGTCAGCTTAGAGCTGTCACAGTTTCATTCCCTTTTGGTTCCCGCTGAGTCGTGGTAAACCTCCGGTTTCCCGAAACTTGCTAACCTCCTTGTGATTTCTCTTCGGGCTCTTTCTCTGCTTCGTGAAGTCTCCACATTGCAAACCCCCCACGCCTGCAAATGCGGCACAGCCGCTTCCGCCAACTACCACCGAGGCAGATGCCTAGAGCGCCCGGTGCGGCGGTCGTGCGCGGGGGGCGGCAACGTCAACGGTTCCGCGACGAGCGCACGCAGGCTCCCACGGCCTGGGGAAGCTTTTTCTTGAAGGACCCAGAGGCGAGCCGCTAGGGGGTGGCACCGCAGCGCTCCGCCGGCAGGGACGTCTAGCAGCGCATAGTTTTGATTGGTGGAGCTCGGCCGCGGGGCGGGGCCCAGCGATTTTGAATGGGAGAGGCGGGCGGAGGGAGGGAGTGACTGGGATGGATGCCAGGGCCTCGGCGCACTCCAAGCGGCGCGGGATGGCAGCGGCGGCCTCAGGTACGGGGCTCCGGCCTGGGGGGAGGTCGGATCCTGAAACCTGGAGCTCCCGTGCGGTGATATTGCTGAGTCTGGTGGTGGCTCGGCGGGTTGTCGGGGAGACGGGAACGGTGGAGGTGCGGGGGAGGGGAGCTTCCCCCTTTACTACCGGTCCGCCTCGTTCTGCGCTCGGGTCGGTAGGCGTTAAGGGAGAGAGGCCCGGCCCCGGTCCTTGTGGAGCTTCACTTCTGTGCAAACATGCCTGGAGCCATCAGGCGGGGAGGCCAGCTGAAGGGAACTGGGGCCGTAGGTGTGTTTTGCGGGGTGAGGAAAGGACTGTGGGTAGAATCCAGTGTTTGGGTACGGGGAGTTCCCTGGAGAGGTGGAAGTTGGGCCCGAGGTGCAGACCGAGCTGCAGCTGGGGCAAGAACGGGAGTAGGAAAGGAGGGAGCCAGGGGAGAGGGCGAGCTTCTTCATCAAGTCTGAGGCTGTTCAGTCGCTCCCTTCTGTCCCCAGTCTCCCCTGCCCGGGTGCTGGAAGGGCAGCAGAGTGAACTCGTCCTCACGGAGTTCGCAGTTAGAGAGAGATGTCAGGGAGGCTGCAGCTGTGTGGAGTGTACAATATACCTGCTTGGAGGAGCCACACAGGGGATTAGCCTTCTGTGTCACAGAGGTGTCTCCTGTTTTTGTTTTTAAAGAATGGTGATTATTTTGTCTCAGTCACTTAGGAGATAGAGTGGAAGCAGCAGTGACAGAGATGTTCCAGGGAGCAGGAATGAAGGCTTGGGCCCTACGCAGTGGCCTAGTGGCTAAAGTCCTCGCCTTAAACACACTGGGATCACATATGGGCACTGATTCTAATCCTGGCAGCTCCACTTCCCATCCAGCTCCCTGCCTGTAGCCTGGGAAAGCAGTCGATGGCCCAAAGCCTTGGGACCCTGCACCTGGGTGGGAGACCCGGAGGAAGTTCCTGGCTCCTGGCTTCGGATCGGCACAGCACCAGCCATTTGCGGTCACTTGGGGAGTGAATCATCGGACGGAAGATCTTCCTGTCTCTCCTCTCTGTGTATCTAACTTTGCAATTAAACAAATAAATCTTTAACAAAGAAAAAGAATGAAGGCTCATAGGTGTGAGAAAACTTAGGCACCACAGGGACTGAGCTGTGCAGTGTCAGGAGCGGAGGGAGGATTGCGGAGGAGGCCAGAGGCTGGGGAGCAGGGTGGAGTAGTGGACTCATTTACAAATCAACTAAGAAAGTGGCAGTTGTGAATAATGGACTGGTTGGAAGAGAAGAGGTGGAATTACAGACCCATCTTGGTTGGCTTCACTCACCATGGGGGCAGAGGCAGAGCTGAGACTGCAGTGAGATGGGGCAGGGCTCAGTTTAGAACGGGGGAGGGGGGAGGTGGAGGTACTCGAGATGCCAGCACAACCACTCAGAATGTGGATGTGCAGGGGAAAGGATTGTGGCATGACAGGCTGAGAGGCTGGCATCCCATGTGAGCACTATACCCAGTTCATATGGTTCTATGCCCAGCTGCTCCACTTCCTGTCCAGCTTCTTGCTGATGTGCCTAGGAAAGCCACAGAGGATGGTCCAAGTGCTTAGACCCCAGCACCCATGTGGGAGATCCGGAGGTAGCGCTAGATGGCTGATTGCGGCCAGGCTGTTGCAGCCATTTGGGGAGTGAACCAGTAACAGAAGAGTCTGCCTTTCTCAAACTCTCTCTTTAACTCTGGCTTTCTTTCTTTTTTTTTAAGATTTATTTCTTTTCATTTAAAGGCAGATTTACAGAGAAAGATCTTCCCTTCCATCTGCTGGTTCACTCCCCAAATGGCCATAATGGCTGGAACTGAACTGATCTGAAGCCAGGAGCGAGGAACCTCCTCTTGGCGCCCCCTCTTTCCTCCCTCCCCCATGGGTGCAGGGTCCCAAGGCTTTGGGCCATCCTTTACTGCTTTCCCAGGCCACACACAGAGCTGGATGGGAAGTGGAGCAGCTGGGACACTGACTGAGACCCATATGAGATGCTGGTGCTTTAAATGATTCCCCTCCACCCCACAGTCAAAGTAGAGTTACAGAGAGAGGCAGAGATCTTTCATCTGCTGGATCATTCCCCAAATGATCCAGGGCTGGGCCAGACCAAATCCAGGAGCCCAGAACTTCTGTCAGGTCTCCCATGTAAGTGCAGGAACCCAAACACTTGGGCCATCTTCCACAGGAATCTTAACATGTGTGCCACAATGTTGCCCCCTTCCCTCCTGCTGTTATTTTTGTAGAGACACTGAGCTTGCACAGTTAGGCCACCTTTTCGAGATCACACTGCCAGTAGGTAGGATGGTCTCTGGCTCCAGATTCATGGGGATTCAAAGTGAAGGTGGTCGTGGGCCCTACACGGTAGCCTAGTGGCTAAAGTCCTCGCCTTGTACGCCCGGGATCCCATATGGGCGCCGGTTCTTATGCTGGCAGCTCCACTTCCCATCCAGCTCACTGCTTGTTGGCCTGGGAAAGCAGTGGAGGACAGCCCAGAGCCTTGGGACCCTGCACGCACATGGGAGACCTGGAAGAAGACTCAGGCTCCTGGCTTCAGATCAGAGCTCAGCTCTAGCTGTTGGAGGCCACTTGGGGAGTGAACCAGTGGATGGAATATCTTCCTCTCTGTATATCTAACTTTCCAATTTAAAAAATCAATCTTAAAACAAAAAGCAAAGTAAAGGTGCTGTGGGGGCCTGCAAGCTGACGTAATGCACTTTGGAATCAGACTTTGATTTGAAGCTCTCATTAACTTGACTTTGGGCCAGTTAGCTGATCCAGTCATGCAGAAATTTCATCTGCAAAGTGGGAGATGTATATGAACCCTTTTGCCAAGCACAGGATGCTGTCCTAAGCACTTTAGATGAATTAGCTTAATTCTTCCTTAATGAACAACCCAACAGATACTCCTATTTTATAGGTAAGAAATTAAGGCAGAGTTAGAGGAGAGGTCTTCCACCCCTGGTTCACTCCCCAGATAGCTGCAATAATCAGAGCTGGGCCAAACCAAAGCTTAGAAGCAAGAACTCCGTCAGGGTCGCCTCTGTAGATGCCAGGGCCCTGTACCCGGGCTATAGTCTATTGCCATACCGAGTGCATTCAGAGGCAGCTGGATGGAAAGTGGTGGGTTTGTTTGACTTGGTACTCATATGGGTTGCTGGCATTGCAGGTGGTAGCTCTACCTGCTGTGTCACCACACTGAATCTGCCATCTTATTCTCTGAAACCCTGGGATGACGAGGCGGAGGTGGCACCTGTGTGTGTTGGGCGAGTCAGTGTTGCCGTGTGCCCCTCACGTGCTGTCTGCGTGTGTGTGCTTCTACTTGTATTCTCCTGCTTGGTCCTGACTCTCAGGATTACCGTGAGAACCAGGTGGTCAGGTGCTCTGTGAGCTGTTTGGTGATGAGGGGTAGGGGGTTAGGAGATCCATTGTGGGGGGAGTGGGGGAGGGTGTATTTATTTATTTTCAGTTAAAAGGCAGTTTGAGTCAGAGATCTTCCATGAAGCCAGTAGTCAGGAACTGACAGGTTTCCCCACTTGGGTGGAAGGGGCCCAAGCACTTGCGTCATCCTGTTTTAAGGATCAAATCCAGAGTAGCCAGGACTTAACTTGTGGATGCTGGGATTGCAGATGGTGGCTTAACCCACTGTGTCGTAATGCCAGCCTCTCCGATTCCTCCCCTATAGGTAACTTTTTGTCTTCTTTTTGCCTTGCTGTGTCTATGTTGGTTTGTTATGCCAGAACAACATTTGTCTCCTCTGAGGCCTGTGGGTCCCCAGCTGGGAGGAGGCAGGCAGAGTTGGCCCACCACGGAAGGCCGTGGGCATCCTCATTAAAAACAAATTTGGGAGAGGAGAAGATCTAGTTTGAATTCTGCTACCAGCTGCGAACTGTAGAATCCACGTTACCCTTCACAGTAGTATACAACTCATAAGACAGTTTCAGATTACTGAATCCTCCCAGAAATACACTTAAAGTCTTTATCTTTGTTGTGCTTTCTAAAGATACTTATGTTTATTTGAAGAGCAGTGAGAGATAGCAGTCTGAGATTTTTTTCCATCCACTGGTACACTCCTGAAAATGCCTGTGATGGCCAGGTTTGAGCAGAAGCACAGAACTCAATGCAAAGTTCTCTAATGAGAGTGCCAGGGCCCCGGGTACTTGAACCATGGCCTGCTGCCTCCCATGGTACTCGAGCACAGGAAGCTGGAGCCAGAAGCAGAGTTGGGACTCCCACACAGACCCACGGGACAGGCATGTGTGTCCCCCAAGTGCGGTCTAGGTGCCCACGCCCGTCATCTCTCCAAGTGACCTAGATTAATCTGCAGAAGCAAGCTCAATGGAATGCTTACAAGAATTTCTTGTCAGGGCCTTTTGCAGACTGAGCTGGGACAGCAAGGGCTTGCCAGCTGCTCTGCAACCTGATCCCTTCCAAACAAAGAGATTGAGTGTAGGTGGTTTTTTTTATAAATGCAACCATTGGAGCATCACAGAGTGGGCAACAAGAAAAACAGCCACACAATCCTTGCTCAGAGAAAACTACCATGAAAGGTTAGGGAACGTGTTTGGGTACCTCTGTGTATGTCTAAATGCAGGTGAGGAACAGAGAGAGAGTTCATTATCTGGATCCAGCTGGGGCTGCCTGTCAGCTCAGTCCTTGGAACAGCTCTGAGAAGCTGACCTTCCCATCTTGGCCCATCAAATGGTCCCATAGCTAAACCCGGACGCTTGTTACAAGTGCAGGATCTGGGGAACTGCAGCCAATCCTATACTTGAGCCACATCTTCCAGGATATTTGTGTGTTCACCATGACTGGAGAGGCCTGCTCGGCACTCCCTAACTTCTCGCCAGGGCTGCCCATGGCAGAGCCAGGGTAAAGTGCTCCCCTGTAAATGAGCTATGACCACCAAGCTGCTTGCCTAACACTTGCCTTCTCTCCTCCAGGAGCCGGTCGCTGTCGGCTAAGCAAGATGGGCACTGGCCGCCGGCCGCCTCCAGCCCGTGTGCGGGTGGCTGTGAGACTGCGTCCTTTTGTGGATGGGACAGCCGGAGCCAATGACCCGCCTTGTGTCCGGGGCCTGGACAGCTGCTCTCTGGAGGTCGCCAATTGGAGGAACTATCAGGAGACTCTGAAGTACCAGTAAGGACCAGACCTCCTCCCTCCCTTGTGCAGCCCTCAGAGCTGCCTCCCAGGCCCTGTCAGGGCTGCTGTGGGGAGGGAGTCAGACACGCCCTGCTGGGGAAGCAGACACAATGGGGGAAGGACCAGGGAGGTAAGCACCACTAAGGGACCAGTGAGAGGGGCTGGGATGCACCACCCAACTGTAGCTGGGCAGTCAGCCTCAGAGACCACTGAGTCCCAGGATACAACTTACGAGGGCAGCTCCCTAAAATTCCCATTGGGAAGTTCAAGTTCAAAGGCCTAAGGCCTATTCTAGGCTAAAGGGTGTGGAAACACAGCCTACAGATCCAATCTGACTAGTAGTCTAGTTTTTTCTTGTTGTTGTTAAGATTTATGTATTTTTATTGGAAAGTCAGATATACAGAGAGAAAGATCTTCCGTCCACTGGTTCTCTTCTCAAGAGACCACAACAGCTGGAGCTCAGCTGAAGCCAGGAGCCAAGAGTTTTCTTCTGGGTCTCCTATGTGTGTGCAGGGTCCCATGCCACAAGCAGGGAGCTGGATGGGAAGTGGAACAGCCAGGATATTAATGATCCAGCAACCATATGGGATCCTGGGCAGGCAAGGCAAGAACTTTAGCCACTAGGCTACTGCACCAGGCTATGTTTTTTTAAGATTTGTTTATTTTTATTGGAAAAGTCACATCTATAGAGACAAAGGAGAGACAGAGATCTTCTGTCTGCTGGTTCACTTCCCAAGTGGCCACAATAGTGGCATTGCCTATCTGAAGCCATGAGCATCTTCCAGGTCTTCCATGTGGCTGCAAGGTCCCAGGGTTTTGGGCTATTCTTGACTGCTTTCCCAGGCCACAAGCAGGGAGCTGGTGCTCTCTTTGGCAGCACAAATACTAAAATTGGAAGCAGGGAGCTGGATGGAAAGCGGACCACCGGGATATGAACCGGCGCCCATATTGGATCCCATCACATACAAGGCGAGGTCTTTAGCTGCTAGACTACCACGCTGCCTGGCCCATCACATACAAGGTGAGGTCTTTAGCGCTAGACTACCACGCTGGCTGGGTGGTGCAGTCCTCCGGTAGTTGATGGCGGTTTCCCAGGTGCAGTGCCTGAGGCTAAGGAGTGGAGGGAACAATGGGGGCTTGGAGACGCCAGAATATCTCCTGTTTGGCTCTTTCCAAAAAGAGTTTGCCAGCTTCATTATAGGCCTGAGACAGTTGGGTTTCAGTTTCTTTCCAATCTCATCTCCTCTACCCCATACTAAAAGCCTTGCTGTAGCCTAGGCCACAGCTTCTCCGAGTGTGATGGAGGGGCCGCGGGCATGTTGTATGCCCACAGCACTGCAGTATCCAGACACTAACTTCTGAATATGCTGCCACGGGAGAAGACTGGCTTACGTGTCTCGTCTCTATGCTGTTCTTTCTCTCTCTCTCTCTTAAGTAATTAATTAATTTTTATTTATTGGAAAGTCAGATATACAGAGAGCAGGAGAGACAGAGAGGAAGATCTTCCGTCCGATGATTCACTCCCCAAGTGAGCACAATGGCCGATGCTATGCCGATCCGAAGCCAGCAACCAGGTACTTCTTCCTGGTATCCCACACGGGTGCAGGGTCCCAAAGCTTTGGGCCGTCCTCGACTGCTTTCCCAGGCCACAGGCAGGGAGCTGGATGGGAAGTGGAGCTGCCTGGATTAGAACCGGCACCCATATGGGATCCCGGGGCATGTTCAAGGCAAGGACTTTAGCCGATAGGCCACGCCGCCGGGCCCTCTTAATTTATTTTTACTGGAAAGGCGGATATACAGAGAGGAGGAGAGACAGAGAGGAAGATCTTCTGTCCGATGGTTCACTCCCTAAGTGACCACAAATGGCTGGAGCTGAGCTGAGCTGATCTAAAGCCAGAAGCCAGGAGCTCTTCTGGGACTCTCACTCAGGTGCAGGGTCCCAAGGCTCTGGGCCATCCTTGACTGCTTTCCCAGGCCACAAGCAGGGAGCTGGATGGGAAGTAGAGCTGCCAGGATTAGAACCAGAGCCCATATCCCGGTGTGTTCAAGGCGAGGACTTTAACCACTACACTATCATGCCAGCCCCCCCTCTCTCTTTTTTAAAGATTTATGTATTTGAAAGTCAGATTTACAACCCCAGGTGGCCGCAGTGGCCAGAGCTGAGCTGATCTTAAGCTAGGAGTTTCTTCTGGATCTCCCATGCATGTACAAGGTCCCAAGGCTTTGGACTTTCTTCTAATGCTTTCCCAGGCCACAAGCATTGACCTGATTGGGAAGTGGAGCAGCCGGGACATTAACCAGCACCCATATGGGATCCCGGCACATGCAAGGCAAGGACTTTAGTTATTAAACTATCACACTGGCCCTCTGTGCTACTTTTGAAAGAATTTCTTTGGGGGCCTGGCGGCATGGCCTAGCGGCTAAAGTCCTTGCCTTGAACTTGCCAGGATCCCATATGGGCGCCGGTTCTAATCCAGGCAGCTCCACTTCCCATCCAGCTCCCTGCCTGTGGCCTGGAAAAGTAGTTGAGGACGGCCCAAAGCTTTGGGACCCTGCACCCATGTGGGAGACCTGAAAGAAGTTCCTGGTTGCTGGCTTCGGATCGGCATAGCATCGGCTTTTGCGCTTACTTGGGGAGTGAATCATCGGACGGAAGATCTTCCTCTCTGTCTCTCGTGCTCTCTGTACATCTGACTTTGTAATAAAAATAAAGTAAATCATTAAAAAAAAAAAAAAAGAATTTCTTTTGGGCCCGGCGTGATAGCGTAGTTGTTGCCTTGAGCGCGCCGGGATCCCATGTGGGTGCCAGTTCTAGTCCTGGCGGCTCCACTTCCCATCCAGCTTCCTGCTTGTAGCCTGGGAAAGCAGGAAAGGATGGCCCAAAGCTTTGGGAACCTGCACCCACGTGGGAGACCCGGAAGAGGCTCCTGGCTTCGGATCGGCATAGTATTGGCCGTTGCGGCTCACTGGGGAGTGAATCATCGGACGGAAGATCTTCCTCTCTGTCTCTCGTCTCTGTATATCCGCCTTTCCAATAAAAAAGTAATAAAAATAAATCTTTAAAAAAAAATCTTAAAAAAAAATTTTTTTTTCTCTGATGGCAAAATTCTCTTTTGTGAAGTGGAGTCCTTTTCAGGTGTTCTCATCATTGTTTCCTGAGTCCCAGTAAAGTCCAGGTCATCTACCAATCCCATGAGACTGCAAAGCTCCCGAGAGCAGGGGTGTCCTATGCATCTCTGTATTCATAACCCCGACCCAGATGCTGGGGCAGAGCCGGCACTCCGTGTGCCTATTCAGGTCTGTGTGCAGCCACGAGCGATAAACATTGTTAAATCCAGGGCCAGTTTCCTCCAGTTCCAGTGGACATGAAGCCCCCAGCTAATTCCTTCCTTCCTGCCAATAGGTTTGATGCTTTCTATGGGGACCGAAGCTCTCAGCAGGATGTCTATGCAGGCTCTGTGCAGCCCATCCTGCGGCACTTGCTGGAAGGGCAGAATGCCAGTGTGCTCGCCTATGGGCCCACGGGGGCAGGTGAGAGGGGTGGGGCGGGTAAGTGGGCTGGCCAGGCAGCACTATGGGGCACCAAGGCTGAGGGGCGTGGAGAGGCAACCCTCAATGCATCCTCCTCTTTTCCTCCAGGAAAGACCCACACGATGCTGGGCAGCCCGGAGCAGCCTGGCGTGATCCCCCGGGCACTCATGGATCTCCTGCACCTCACCCGGGAGGAGGGGGCCGAGGGCCGGCCGTGGGCTCTCTCTGTCACCATGTCCTACTTAGAGATCTACCAGGAAAAGGTGATGCCCCCTTCTGGGCTGGGGAGGGAAGAGGCAGCAGGGTCCAGAGTGCCCAGTCCTGGGGCATTGTGGCAGATGGTGTCACACCAAGTGTCTAGCACAGGACAGGAAACCCAAGTCCTAGGAAGAGAGTGGCCAGCTTGGGTGTGGAGAGCTGGCCACTCAGCACTCACTCGGCCGGGCTTTCTCAGGTGTTAGACCTCCTAGAGCCTGCATCTGGAGACCTGGTGATCCGCGAAGACTGTCGGGGCAATATCCTGATCCCGGGCCTCACGCAGAAGCCCATCAGCAGCTTTGCTGATTTTGAGCAGCACTTCCTGCCAGCCAGTCGAAACCGGACTGTGGGTGCCACCCGGCTGAACCAGCGTTCTTCTCGCAGTCACGCCGTGCTATTGGTCAAGGTGAGGTCTGCTGGCTGTTGCGGTGGCCCAGGAAGCTCTGGGGAGCTGAAGTCGGAGTTGGGGTTAAGCGTGAGGCCTTCATGCTTGTCCCCAGGTGGACCAGCGGGAGCGCCTGGCCCCGTTTCGCCAGCGGGAAGGAAAACTCTACTTGATCGACTTGGCTGGCTCAGAGGACAACCGGCGTACAGGCAACCGGGGCCTGCGGCTCAAAGAGAGCGGCGCCATCAACACGTCCCTCTTCGTGCTGGGCAAGGTGGTCGATGCACTGAACCAGGGCCTCCCTCGGGTGCCCTACCGTGACAGCAAGCTCACTCGCCTACTTCAGGTCAGGCCTAAAGGGGCTCCCAGGTTTGCTGGGTGGTCAGAGCTAGGCAAAATGGGCTTCTGACCTGCCCGCTCTGCCTCAGGACTCACTGGGTGGCTCGGCACACAGCATTCTCATTGCCAACATTGCCCCAGAGAGGCGGTACTACCTGGACACGGTCTCTGCGCTCAACTTTGCTGCCAGGTCCAAGGAAGTGATCAACCGGCCCTTTACCAATGAGAGTCTGCAACTCCATGGTGAGTGCCCATGGACAGCTAAGGTGTAGGCTGGAGCCACCAGGCCTCAGCCCACAGGCTGACTGCCCTCCTCCCCCCTCTCGCCTCCCAGTCTTGGCACCTGTTAAACCATCTCAGAAGGAACCACTAGGTCCATCAGAGGCTAAGAGAGCCCGAAGCCCCGAGAAAGAGGAGCTCGAGAGCCCTGAGCCCACAGCAGCCCCAGCCTCTGGTCCCCAGAAACTCGGGTGAGCATGAGGCCCCAGTGGACCCTGCCTACCATGTGCAGCTCAGCGGAGGGAGCAGTGTGGCCTAGTGGGGGGTGGCAGTGTGGTCTCTCAGGTCCCTGAGCATGGGCAGCTGGAGACTTACTGCTCTCCTGCTGAATTCACCCTAAGCCTCCACGTTATTCTAGGCTACCGTCCAGTGGGAGAGCACTTCCTGGGTCTCTTAGCCCACTTTCCTCCATTTTCCAACCACCCCTTCCCCCAGGCTTTTAGCAGCTGCTGGGGCAGCTGTTTGAAGGGGAGTACTTATTGTGTCTCCTCAAGGAGTGTCCTGGATCGAATCTTTCTGGTCCAAAGGAAGTGAGCTGGCTGCCTGAAGCCCCTTGGCTCTGAGCAAGAGGCCAGACTTCAGGGAACTGGGTGTGGTCCTAACACTGATGTTTCTATTTTTCTTTTCTTTCTTTTTTAAGATTTATTTATTTTTATCGGAAAGGTAGATTTATAGAGAGGAGATAGAGAAACATTTTCCATCCATTGGTTCACTCCGTAAGTGGCCACAACAGCTGGTGTTCAGTTGATCCGAAGCCAGGAACTTTTTCCAGGTCTCCCACATGGGTGCAGGGTTCTAAGGCTTTGGGCCGTCCTCAACTGCTTTCCCAGGCCACAAGCAGGGAGCTGGATGGGAAGTAGAGCAACTGGACATAAACCAGTATCCATATGGGATCCTGGCGCATGCAAGGCAAGGACTTTAGCCATTAGGCTACCATGCCGGGCCCAACACTGCTTCTTCTACTTTTGTCCCAACAAAGCTACTAACTCACTTCTCAGTGGAGATTGCTACCAGTGCCATGTCAGTATTCTTGCTTTCTGAACCTAGCAATGGGCCCTTTTTTACTCCAGTGAGCCAGCTGCAGCTGAAACTTTGCCCTATCTTAAGTCCTAACACTTCAGCAGGGGCTAGCACCATTGAAGAAAGTAGCATGCAAAAAAGTGTGAGTTCACTCATCACCCCCTCAGTCATGCCTGCTTCTCCTGCTCCATGTGCAGAGTTTGAGCTCACATGCACATGGGTATCGTGCGTGAACAGCACGCTCGCTGCCCAGCAGGCTGTCTGGGCACTGGGGTGCCAAGATCATCCCTCTCCTCAGATGCTCACTTTTGGGGAAGATAGGAACATCCATGGGTTCTGCATCCTGCACATGCGCATACTTCCTATCTTCACGCCCCGAACAGTGCAGCAGGTCCCAGTTTACATGGCGCTGACACTGTCCTAGCTGTTGCAAGCCCCCTCCCCCGCGCCCCCAGAGACGTCTTGGAGTGTTTGGGGCATGTTACAGCAAGGATTTGGCATCTTGGGATTTTGGCATCCTCAGCGGTTCTGGGACGACCGTCTCCATAGATAACAAGGGCTGACTTGTCCAAGGCCAGGCAGACAGGGCAGGAGGAGCCATGAGGACATGACTGGTGTGTTTTCACACACAGCTTCCTATGTGTTCCTCTAAGGCCCCTGCATCAGACAGCAGGACAGAGGGGCTAGTCCACAGGGTAGGGAACCGGACGTCCAGTGACATGGGGCATCCTCATGGGAGAGTGAGTGACAAATGAGCTACCAGGTATGAGGAGGTGGGGGAAATGCCAGGCAGAAGGGGAGGGTGGGAGACTACGCTGCATGGGATGTGAGGACCCTGCTGGGACAAGCCTCTCCTTCCGCCCACAGGAGAAGGCCTGGCAGCTCAGGTCTGCAGCGGCTTTCAAAGCCCGCTAGAGTGGACCTCCTTCGGGGAGGCCTTCCCTGACCGCCTCTCCGCACAAACAGGCCCTCAACACAGTCTCCCTTTTTCTTAGTTTCCTCATTAGACTGTAAGCTCCCCCAGCACAGGGCCTTGTCTTCTAACACCTGGCACTCAAGACTCCTGGCATCCCTGAGGTATTTTACCTGAAAGAGCCTGTGTCCAGAGAGGCCAGGAAACTTGCTCAGGGTTGTCCAACAACTTAACCTTGGGGATTGGAACTGCAGGATGCAGCAGCATGGTGAGGGCTGGGGAGGTGTGCGGGAGTAACATCTGTCTGTTCAGCCCCCTGCAGGAGCTCAGCAGCATGGACCCAGCTGTGCTGGAGCGCCTTCTGAGCTTGGACCGGCTGCTGGGCTCCCAGGGCAGCCAAGGGACTCCACTGCTGAACACCCCCAAGCGAGAAAGGATGATGCTTATGAAGACAGTGGAAGAGAAGAACTTGGAAATTGAGGTACATGCTGAAAACTCCCCCTGGCCTTGAGGTCCCTGGGTCTTCAGATGGGATAAAGGAGACTTCAGAGGCTGGACTAGAATCCATTTTTCACCTGAGCTGGAAAGTGCTGGAATGTTCTGTTTTGGTGAAAGTAACTGAGACATATGTAAGGATATTAGAGAAGATTCCAAGTCAAAGGAGGAAACGTTAGACACTGAATTTCCTAGATTCCATTCTAGCTTTAATGAGGACTGCCCAGCCAGCTTTCCCTGCGTGTCCTGCCCGGGTGTTCTTTCATGCTCACCCTAACCTACTGTCCTCAGGGTGGGTCTGAGTCCCATCTGCCTCATCTTCCCAACAGAGGCTTAAGATGAAGCAGAAAGAATTGGAGGCCAAAGTGCTGGCACAGGAGGCTACTGACCCAAAGGAGAAGGAGAACTGCTCTCCCACAGCGCTCCGGCTCCTTCCTCGCCGCACGGTCACAGCCGCAAAACCCTTAAAGAAGGCTGTGGTGATGCCCCTGCAGCTGAGTAAGTCTGGGTCTGGTGTGGGTGTTGGGGGAGCTGGCTCGGTCCTGCCTGGGACATGGGGCGGGGGTGGTAATGAGGAGCAGCTGGCACAAAGCTGGGCACTCTGCCCTCATCAGCCTAGGGTCAGGCCACCAAGGCAGGACTGCTTCTGCTGCAAGGTCACCCGAGAGCACTCTGTGTCTACAGTTCCTAGGCCACACCAGGGCCGGGGAGAACCACGTGGCTGCCGGGGAGGGTGAAAATGATAGCCCCCCTAACTGCAGCTCACCATTCCTGCTTTCAGTTCAGGAGCAGGCGGCTTCCCCAAGTCCAGAAATCCATATCCTAAAGAAGAGAGGCCGGAAGCGGAAGGTGAGACTAGCTGTGGCCCCCGGCTACCCCTGGGGTGAAAGTGGTGGGCAATGGTAGGGAGAGACCTGGTGACACGTCATCAGAAGGGAATTTAGGGTGAAACAAGCGTTACAGGTCCCTGGCTGCATGACCCCACACCTGTTGCCTCATTCCCCTTGTGGCTCTTGTTGCACCTGCTTGCTACAAACTTAGAGCACAATCAGGGAAATGACTGTGGCACCCCTTCACACATGCAGGCCAGTGTGCACACACGTGCATGGGTGGGTAAGTAGAACTACCCCAACTGAGCTGACATCGAGGGTGGCTTTGCCAAGAGTAGAAGGCGGCTTCCTTGCTGGAGGGGAGGGACAGATTGACTTTTGTACTGGAAATGATCTCCACAGTAGGAGAAAGGGACTAGTGTCACCACGGTTTCACAGGTTGGAGAGAGTGAAAATTGGCCCAGAGTGGCAGAGGGAAGGAATGTGGGGAGACACTTGATGCAAGGGGGAGAGGAGAGGGCCGGAGGGCGCCGCGGCTAGCTGGGTTCCAAGCTCTGGCGGAGCAGGCGAGGCGCTGCACACTCATCCCTCCGCCCCTGCCTGCCTGCCAGCTGGAGTCCCTGGATGCCCCCGAGCCCGAGGAGAAGGCTGAGGACTGCTGGGAACTGCAGATAAACCCCGGGCTGCTGGCTCAGGGCCGCCAGAGAATCTTGCATCTTCTGAACGAGGGCTCCGCTCGGGACCTGCGCAGCCTGCAGCGCATCGGCCAGAAGAAGGCCCAGCTCATAGTGGGTTGGAGGGAGCTGCACGGCCCCTTCAGCCAGGTGAGGGGCGGGGAGCTGGGGGAGGCGGGCGCCCTGGCCTAGGGCTCTTCCCCTATGGCTGCCGTCCCTCCACAGGTGGAGGACCTGGAGCGTGTGGAAGGCATATCCGGGAAGCAGATGGAGTCGTTCCTGAAGGTGAGATCCTGCCCCGGCCCTCCCCGCCCGGCCCGGCCCGCGCTAACGTGGCTCCCGCCCCTCCTGTGTTGCAGGCCAACATCCTGGGTCTCGCCGCCGGCCAGCGCTGCGGCCCCTGCTGACTGCCGCCGCCTCCCGTTCTGTGTTTATTATCCTTGTGTCAGCGTAAATCCTTGTGTTGTGTAAATACAGTTGTTACGCTGCTGCCTCGGCCTGATTTTTGGGGTGGGTGGGCTACGGGCTCCGCGACGACCCCGGAGGGACGCCATCTTTAGGGAACCACGACCCAGCGCCGGATTGTAAATAAAACCTCTGGAATGGGGAGGGGAAGAGACGGCGGCCGAGAGGAAACAAAAAGCTGACGCGAAGGCCGGAGACGGCGACCGTTAGCCGGGCGCGCGCGCGGAGCTTGGCCCCGCCCCGCCCGTGCCCCCGGCGCGCGCGCCCCTCCGCTCCCGCTCCTCGGCGAGGGCGACCTCGTGCGCGTGCGCGCGGAATAACGGCCGCTGGCGGGCCGTGGGGGGGGCTGGAGTCGTTGAGGGGGGGAGAAGAGCGAGGCCGCCCCGTCTCCCGCGCGCCCACCACCTGCGCCAGCGTCAGCCAATCAGCGGCCGCCTCCGGGGTCTCGCGCTCGGGGCGCCTCGGGCTGCTGGGCGGCTCCCTGGGCCCTCCTCCCGCCACGGGCCCTCCCCCGCCCGCCGGCCCCGCGCGCGCTCGCGCTCGCGCCCGCTCCAGCCTCCTGTGTGTCCCCGCGCCCCCCGCCCGCCCGCCCCGCGCGCAGTGTGCTCCGCTCCCCCCACCCTCCTCCTCCTCCTCCCCCCGCCCGCCCCGCGCGCCTCCTCCTCGGCCCCCTCCCCCCCGCGGCCGCCGCCGCCGCCGCCGCCGCCTCCTCCTCCTCCTCCCGCCCCAGGGCGAGCGCGAGCCACCTCCCTCCCTCCCTCCGCCATGGATCCCAGCAACTGGAGCAGCTTCATCTTCCAGGTAACAACCCCCTCCCCCCGCCCCCACCCCCTGCCCTCCCGTCCCACCCCCCCTCCGCGCGCCCGGTGCGCGCGCAGCTGTCCCCCTCCCTCCCTCGCGCCCTCCCCCGCCCTCCCCGAGGCGCCGGCTGGGCGCGCGCGCGGCGGGGGCCGAGGCTGCTCCCTCGCTCCCCCCACCCCGCCCCGCCAGGCTCCAACCGCCGCCGCCGCCGCCGCCGCCACCGCCGCCCGGGCCCCCGCCCCCGGCCCCGGCCCCCGGCCCCGCGGGGCCTCCCGCCCCCACCCAGGGGGCGTCGCCGCCGCCGCCGCCGCCGTCGCCGCGCTCCGCGGCCCGCAAGGCGCCCTCCCTCCGCTCCCTCCCTCCCTCCCGCCGGCCGGGGTGCGCGGGCGGCGGGGCGGCCCGCGGGCCATGCGTTCGGCGCGGCCCAGCCCGGCCGGCCGGGGGCGGCGCCCCGAGCCCGGGCCCCGCGCGGCCCGCGCCCCCGGCCCCCGCTGAGCCCCAGGGGCCCCCCACCGTGGCCGAGGCCATGTTCCCCGTGTTCCCTTGCACGCTGCTGGCCCCCCCCTTCCCCGTGCTGGGCCTGGACTCCCGGGGGGTGGGCGGCCTCATGAACTCCTTCCCGCCACCTCAGGGTCACGCCCAGAACCCCCTGCAGGTCGGGGCTGAGCTCCAGTCCCGCTTCTTTGCCTCCCAGGGCTGCGCCCAGAGTCCATTCCAGGTGAGTAGGGGCCGGCCGCGGCGGGCTGGCCGGGCCGGGAGGGCGCCGACCCGCGGCCGCGGCCCACCACGCCGCCTTGTCTCCGCAGGCCGCGCCGGCGCCCCCCCCCACGCCCCAGGCCCCGGCGGCCGAGCCCCTCCAGGTGGACTTGCTCCCGGTTCTCGCCGCCGCCCAAGAGTCGGCCGCCGCCGCCGCGGCCGCCGCTGCCGCCGCCGCCGCCGTGGTGACGGCGCCCCCGGCCCCGGCCGCCGCGTCCACTGTGGACACTGCGGCCCTGAAGCAGCCCCCGGCGCCCCCGCCGCCGCCCCCGGCCGTGTCGGCGCCCGCCGCCGAGGCCGCGCCCCCCGCCGCCGCCGCCACCATCGCCGCCGCGGCCACCGCCGTCGTCGCCCCGACCTCGACGGTCGCCGTGGCCCCGGTCGCGTCCGCCTTGGAGAAGAAGACAAAGAGCAAGGGGCCCTACATTTGCGCTCTGTGCGCCAAGGAGTTCAAGAACGGCTACAACCTCCGCAGGCACGAGGCCATCCACACGGGGGCCAAGGCCGGCCGCGTCTCCTCTGGGGCCATGAAGATGCCCACCATGGTGCCCCTGAGCCTCCTGAGCGTGCCCCAGCTGAGCGGAGCCGGCGGGGGAGGGGGAGAAGCGGGGGCCGGCGGCGGCGCGGCCGCGGTGGCCGGCGGCGGCGTGGTGACCACCACGGCCTCGGGCAAGCGCATCCGCAAGAACCACGCGTGCGAGATGTGCGGCAAGGCCTTCCGCGACGTCTACCACCTGAACCGACACAAGCTGTCGCACTCGGACGAGAAGCCCTACCAGTGCCCGGTGTGCCAGCAGCGCTTCAAGCGCAAGGACCGCATGAGCTACCACGTGCGCTCACATGACGGCGCTGTGCACAAGCCCTACAACTGCTCCCACTGTGGCAAGAGCTTCTCCCGGTGTGCAGGGGGCTCGGCCGCCGCGGGGCCGGGGGCGGGCGGCAGGCAGGGAGGGAGGCGGGGGCGGCCGGCCTGGCCCCCCGCAGGCTGGCACGGCTGGGGCCGGGGTGGGGGGGCGCAGAGCCCCTCCCCGGGAGGAGGGAGGTGAGCGCTCCCGCTTGGCAGGGAGCAGGGGGTGGTACTTGGCGAAGGAGGTGGGCCTATGGGTGGAGGGAAAGCCTCGTGCGGGAGGAGGAGGAGGAGGATGCCGAGGTCGAGGGGAGGGGTTTCCCGCTCCCGCTGGCTGCGGAAGCCCCGGGAGGCGAGGAAGGGGCGCGCTGGCCGGGAGGCGAGGAAGGGGCGCGCTGGCCGGGAGGCTCACCGCCCGAGCCCTAACCCCGCTCCCCGACGTGTCCCCAGGCCGGATCACCTCAACAGTCACGTCAGACAAGTGCACTCCACAGAACGGCCCTTCAAATGTGAGGTAGGAAGCCCGCCGCCTCCTGTCCTGGTTTTCATTGGTTTTGATCCTCATGGTAGCTGTCTCAGTTCAGCCTCTCAGACCCCCTTTTTCTCTTCTCTTCTTTTTGCCTTTTCACTCCATTGTCTCATTCCTCCTCCAAGGCTTCATCATCTCACTCCCATTCCCTACAGCTCCCACAGCCCCAAGGCGCTGACGCCTTTAGTCTTGCTCCCTGCTCCCCACTCCCTGAAGCTTTAACGCTCCTGTGACACCCCCCACGCCCCTCCCCCCTCCCCAGAAATGTGAGGCAGCTTTTGCTACGAAGGACCGACTGCGGGCGCACACAGTACGACACGAGGAAAAGGTGCCATGTCACGTGTGTGGCAAGATGCTGAGCTCGGCTTATATTTCGGACCATATGAAGGTGCACAGCCAGGGCCCTCACCATGTCTGTGAGCTCTGCAACAAAGGTACACACATCAAGGGGCCAGGAGGGCCAGGGTGGGCACAAAGCCAGCGGGTGCTGGAACCAAGAGCTCGTGGCATCTATAGCCCATTAGGAAGCGAGCAAAGCAATATGGGGCCAACTAAACGTCACCAAGTTCTGAGAAGCTGAGGTGGCAATGGGGAGACCATCTACTAGAGAGGTCAGCTCATGGGCGGGCAGGGGCAGTGGGATAAGGCCCCCGGGAGAAGCAATCAAGGGAGTAAGGCAGGCTTCCTGCTGCAGAGCCACAACTTCTTGTCTCCAGCACCTAGGCTAGTGGAGGCCCTCTGCAGGGGCTCTAAGCCTGCACCTGCCCTTTTTTTTTTTTTTTTTAACTTGTTCACTGAGGATCTGGGTTAGGGCTTGGGGGGGGCACTAAGGGGGGGAGGGACACAGCCGTCTCTTCTGAGGAGCAACCCTCCAAGTAGCTAGGAGCCAGTGACTGCTCATCCTGGGAGAGGGAGCACTGTAGGTGGCCAGGCTGAAAAGTGGGTACCACCCAAGCCCGGCCTCCCCACCCCCCAGCACCTGCAGGTAGACAACCCCACACTATCAAGGATGTGGTGGGAGGAGGACAGGGCCATCTGAGGAGGGCGTCCCCAGCCTGGGAGAACAGCCCCGTCTCTGGGGTCTCCACCTGGCTGACCCCCATCCCCCATCCCAATCCACCCCACCCCCCATAGGCTTCACCACGGCAGCATACCTGCGCATCCACGCGGTGAAGGACCATGGGCTCCAGGCCCCGCGGGCTGACCGCATCCTGTGCAAGCTGTGCAGCGTGCACTGCAAGACCCCTGCCCAGCTGGCCGGCCACATGCAGACCCATCTGGGGGGGGCCGCCCCCCCTGTCCTGGGAGACGCCCCCCAGCCACAGCCCACCTGCTGAGGGGGACCCCCGCACCCACCAGGCAAGGCGTGGGGCATGGCTGGGGGGGGTGAAGCGGGAGGGTGGGACAAGGGGGCTCCAAGGGCCCACTAGGGGAGCTCAGGAAGGCCAGGGACACCCCCATCTGTCCTTCAGGTTAGGGAGATTGCGGGGACCAAGCAAGGCCCCTCAGAACTGCTCTGTGCGGGTGAGGATGCAGGCCAGAGGCTCTGGGGACCAGACAGGAAGTTAGCAACGGCTGTGTCCTGGGGAAGCAGTCTGGGGGACGGCGAGGTGATGGGCATTCAGCCCGCACTGTGCTCTTGTGTTCCCCACGGTGCAGGTACCGGCGAGGTTTGTCCAATGGCAGCAGCAGCAGCGGCGGCAGCGGCGGCAGCAGCAGCAGTGGCAGCCCCTCCCACAGCTGTGGGTTCCCTCCCGGGGGCTGAGGGGGTGCCCGTGAGCTCCCAGCCACTTCCCTCCCAGCCCTGGTGAGCCCTAGGTTGGTGGGCGGGAGGGGAGAGTGGAGGAATGTGCTTTGGCACAGTCTCCTCTCAGCCCTCTGCCCACCAACTCCTCACTGCGTCCCCACCCACCCGGGAGCCTCCTGCAGGAAGGAGGAAGGCGCGTTTTCTTAGGGGATTGGCTAGGTTTTCACCATTTGTCTCCTGCTCCTCTCCCCCTTGCCCCAGAGATGACCCTACACTCACCTGTGCCCTTGGTTTGAAGCCCCCCTGGACCACGGGCAGGGATGGCAGAGGACAGGAGCAGCCACTGCCCTTCCCCCTCTCCTCTCTGTCACTCCTGCCCGGCCCTCCCAGGGGCTGCGAGTCTCTCCTGTCACAGCCCTCACTCCTCCTTCCGGTCCTCTCCCTCACTACTGTCTGCTGCCCCTCCCTGGGGAGTTGGTGCTTTCTTTTTGTTTTTGTTTCGTTTTGTTTTTCTTTCTTCCTTTTCTTTTTTTCTTCAGGGGGAGGGAGGAGAGGAAGGAGGGAATCAAAAATTCTGTCCTGAGAAGGGAAAGGTGAGATTTGAGAAGGGACAGACAGGAAAGGTAGAGGTGGTACTTGCTGAGTGTTGAGGGGAGGTTAGGGGAGCAGGAGGAGGAGCTGCCAGGGCCAGAAGTAGAACAGGAGGGGGCATCGAGGGGGCCAGGGTAAATGAGAGGGTCCAGGACTAGAGGTGCTTCCTGGGTGGGGGGAATGCAGCCACAGGGTCTCCCCCCTTCCCTCTCCACCCCAGCTCCAGCCCTGGTCTGGTCTCTTATCCCTCTCCCCCACGACAGAGCTATGGCCCTGGCCGTGTCATCGTGTTCCTGTGTCCCCTGCATGTCCCCCACCCTCCACCCCCTCCTTTTGCGCGGACCCCATTATAATAAATTTTAAATAAAAACCTGTCTCTGTTTTTGGGTTGAGTGAATTTCTCCCAGCCCCAAGAGGCTTTATCCCCCAAAGGCCTGGTCTTGTCCACCTTTTCTCAGCTCCGAGTGGCCCAGGGTTCACACTCCCAACTCCCCCGGCTGTAGCAAGGGTCAAGACTCCAGGGGTGTTGGAGAACAAGTTCCAGGTCGCCCTGCTTTTTGGGGAATCCCCAATCTGGACTGGCCCAAATGGATGGTGGACGGCTGCACTGTGTGCCCCGCTGTACCCCTTGCCTTTGCTCTGGCCCTGTCGGAGTAACTGCACACCCTCCAGGTGCTGGTGACTAGTGTAGCTGCAGAAAGCCTCAGGCCCTAGGGCTAGGAGCAGTCCCCGTCCATTCTAAGGTGCACTTGGCCCCTAGTTGTGCGCAAGGTTCAGTCTCCCCAAACAGAAGGCCCAGCCCCTTGGTGCTGCTCCAGGCCACCCTTGCAACCCCAGCCTAGCCCCTGTCCCAGCTTTCCAGTACCTGTTTGCTGCTTCCTGGGGGTGGAGGGGTGGGGATCGGGAGACTGCTCATTCTGCAGGTTCTCTTTCCAAACCCCACACTGCTGCTGTGCAGCCAGCCCATTTTGCCCCCTCCTCCTGCTGTGGAACTGCCCCCAACCAGTCCAGCCAGTCTGATAGGTCCCCATCGATCTCTTCTGAGACCCTTCTCCGTTTACCCTCACTGGGTTTCGGCCAGGACCCCTGGTGACCGTTGGCGGGAGGGGCCGAGGACTTGGGAAGTGGGTGCCCCGCCAGGAGGCGCGCGTGGGAAGGGGTAGGGAGGGGGCGCGAGTGGTCCCGGGGCCGGTTGCCTGGAAACGCGGGGCCTGGCACGCGAGACTCCCTTGGGCTGGCCGGGAGGGGCCGGAGGCGTGCGAGGGGCGGGGGCGGCGCGCAGCACTGGAGCGTAGGGGAGGGGACCGGAGGCGAGGGGACGAGCAAACGGGAGGAGAGAGAAGGGGAGACCCGTCGCCTCCCTCTTTCGCTCGCTGACTTGCTCCCTCCCGGGCTGCGGCTGCTGCAAAGGCAGCAGCGGCGGCGGCGGCGCGGCGGAGCTGTCCGGAGGCCGGCGTCGAGGTGAGCCGGGGACAGACTGAGGCTGCGGGTAGGAGTGGACCGACAGACGGCCGACGCCTGGCGGGCGGGTTGCACCGGAATGCGGGCGCCTGGCGGGGAGGAAGGTGCCGGCCCACTGAGGACGAGGGAATCCCTAGGAGAGGGGCCAAGAAGGGGCTCTCAGAGGAACTACCTCGGCACCCCAGGGCGGGGCGGGGGCGTCGGAACCTGAACCACGCAGCAAAAAAAAAACCCAAAAAAACCTGCACTCCCAGAGGCGGAGAACGAGGATGCAGAGGGCGTGGAGTGCATGTCGGGTCCTCTGCCGTCTGCTTGGTGGAGTTGGCTGGGTGCCTGGACAGCTGTCTGATTTGGGGGTACCAATGCCTCTACTGGCCTGTCGGGATCGTGCGGGAGGACCCCCCGGGAGAGTCCTGTTTGTAAAGGGTTGCTTCTCCCGCCCCCCACCCCACCCCGGGGGGGTGGGCTCGCAAAGCCTCGGAGAAAGACATTCCTTCCTTAGGGGTGTCCCACCCCAAGGAAAGGAAGCCCCAACTTTTCTCCCTCTTGCTAGAGGTAGCAAGGGGCTGGCTGGGAGACAGGAGCCTGGCCCTCCTGGGGCTGCAGCATTCAGCGCGCCCATTGCCTCCTCACACGAAGCCTGTCTCCTCTTTCAGGATTTGCTTCATTTTCTACTGGCCATCCTTCGCCAGCCCGCAGGGACCCCTCTCCTCTTGCCCCTCTGTCAAGATGGCAGCCAGCACCTCCGAGGTCTCTGAGATAAACGAGGTGGAAAGGAGTCCTGAGACCCAGCAAGAAGGGCCAGGCCCCTCTGAAGCCCCCCCAACAGGGGTTCCACCCCAGCCAGAGGCCCCCCCACAGGCAGGCCCAGACCCCAACGTGGCCCCTGTGGACTCAGGAGAGCCAAAGGCTGGGTCAGCTCCTGAAACCTCCGAGACCCCCGCCCAGGCCACAGACCTCAGTGTTAGCCCAGGAGGAGACTCCAAGACCAACTCCAGTCCCCAAGAAGCATGCCAAGAAGCAGCCTCCACAGCAGAGGAGAGCAAGGAGGCCCCAGCTGCAGATCAGGGCTCCGAGCTGCAGCCGGCGGCCCCACCTGAGCCAGCCGCAGAGCCTGCTCCCCAGCCGGAGGAGCCCCAGCCCAGCCTCAAGCCGGCTGTCCAGCCAGAATCCCTGAGCCAGGACCACACCCCTGAGAGCCTGACCGAGAATGAGGGGGGGAAGCAAGAAAATGGGGTAGTGGTCCCACTCGAGGCTGGTAATGGGAAAGAGGGTCAAGCCCCCCAGCTTCACTCCCCACCCTCAAACAAGTCACCCCCAGCCAACGGGGCTCCCCCTCGGGTGTTGCAGCAGCTGGTTGAGGAGGATCGAAAAGGAAGAGCTCATGGTGGGCACCCGGGATCTCCCCGAGGTAGCCTGAGCCGCCACCCCAGCTCTCAGCTGGCGGGGGTAGAGGGGGGCGAAGGTACCCAGAAACCTCGAGACTACATCATCCTTGCCATCCTGTCGTGTTTCTGCCCCATGTGGCCTGTCAACATCGTGGCCTTTGCTTATGCTGTCATGGTGAGCCCCCCATTGGACCCTGGCCCTGGGCAGGGGCGGGAGGGGGGAGGCCCATCACCTGTCTTGGCTCTCAGCTTCCTGTTGGCCACCGCTGGCACGGAACCGAGTAACCATGCTCTCCCTTCCCCTCTCTGCAGGGATCCCTCTTCCCCAGGGACAGGGCTCTTGCTTGCCTCCTTCAGGACCTGGCTGTGCCCTTCCCCTATGGGTGGGAGAGATATGCAGTCGTTTGCACCTGCTGACCTCTTGCCCTGCTGCTCCAACCTCCCCCCGCCCCGGTCTCCACAGTGCCCATGGGACTGGATGACTGTCTGTATCTCTTTCTTTCTCTCTCTCTTCTTACCTGCTGGGCTGCCTTCTCCCAACCTGAACCGACCTATGCACTACTCCCTAACCCCAGTCTCGTAACAGCCTGCAGCAGGGGGACGTGGATGGGGCTCAGCGCCTGGGTCGTGTGGCCAAGCTCTTAAGCATCGTGGCACTGGTCGGGGGTGTCCTAATCATCATCGCCTCCTGCGTCATCAACTTGGGTGGTGAGTAGAGCTGCGGGACAAGCCGGGGCAGGCTGGGGGGTTGCGTGGAAGGCGGCCTTACTAACCCCTGCCCTGCTCTCTCCTGTCTGTCCCCTCGACTTTGTTGCCTTGTCTCTGTCTTCCCCACCCTTCCTCTCCCACAGTGTATAAGTGAGGGGCTCTGCCCCCACACTCCGAGACTTTTCTTCTTCCTGTTGGGAGCTGCCATGGGTCCATCCCTCCCCTGGTGGGGGGAGCCCAGTCGAATTCCCCGGCCCCCACCCCTAGGACCAAGGGAGCCCCAGCGGCCTTGTTTACAGCTCCTCTCCCGTTCCTGCATCCTACCAGGCTCCTCTGCCAACCGTAGGCCTCCCACTGCCTGCATTTCTGCCTGTATCCCCTCTGGCCTCTGGGCCTGCCCCTCCCTGCACTTCCGGAAACCTCTGTGAACATCTTCCCACTCTGTGCTCCCTCCTGAGCTCCCCGCCTCATCCCACCCAGTCTTTCCCACCTAGTGGTGTTGTCCTTGTCTTAAGTCCTCTCCTCCTTGCCTTTCTGCCACCCACAGTCTCTTCCAGCCTCCTCATCTCCCCTCAGCACCCTTTTCTCCACCTGTTCATTCTGTACTTAGATCAGGCTGGGGGAGGGGAGAGGAGGGGAGTGGTCTGGGACAGTGGGTGTCTGGCCCGGCACGCTGACTGTTCTCCACCTGGCCCTCCCACAGCTTGGTCAGCCAGGCTTCCCGTGCTAGGGTGGCCTGCCAAGCACTGTCTCTGAACACCTTGGAGGGAGGAGGGGCGGTCCGAGTTGACCCACCCACCTGGGCTTTCAAACCTCAAGTTTTTTTCTTGAAGGTATTGGGGTTCAGGCTTGGTACAGAAAGAACTCAAACATTAGGACCAAAGCTCCCCGGGGTGGGCAGGGAGCGAGGGAAGGGCGGGGAGCGCTGCCGTTCCTTCCTAGGAGGGAGGTGTGGTGCACGCAGCAACCCGTTGAGGACCCAGCTACCTTGTGGGTCGGGATTGGCGGGGATTCTGTTTTCTAAAAAAAATTAAAAAGAAAAAAAAAAGAAAGAAAAGAATCTGAAGGAGGATAAAACTAGGTAAACGGGTTCTCCCTTTTTGTATGCTGGATGCTGCATGAGTCTGAAACACCAATAAACGGAGACTGCATGAGAGCCGCCTTTAGTCTCATCCCTGCGTCGGTCCCGCCCGGCCAGCGGTGCTGCCGCCTTACAGGCAGAGCCCAAGTGGGTGGGGTGTACGCATGCGCCGTCCCGGTGGCCATCTTTACTGTGGGCCAAAACCTGTTGGCTGCCCCACCCACTCACTCCCCCCAGCGTCGGTCTGCGCATGTGCAAGCCTTCCCTTGCTTTCCGTCTCCCCAGTGGCTTTCACTAGAGCAGAGCCTCCCGCGCCATTTCTGCGCGCCTGCGCACTGTGACCCTGCGCAGCCCGGGAGGCGGGTCTTAGGTCCAGGTGCGTACAGCGGCTAAGTCGTCGCGGCCTCAATTTCCAGGCCTGGGGAAGAGGACCCCGGGCACGGGCGTGGAGAGAGGGGCGGTGGAAAGGCAGGAAGAGTGGGCCTGCCCATCGCCGGCTCAGAAAGTGCTTACTGCGGGTTCTTGGAAATCTCGGAGTACGGGACCTCGGTCCGTGGGCGGGGTCCTTGGAGGGGACCCCAGAGTCCCGTCCCGGGCATTGGCTTTCTGGCCGTGAACTCTGCCAGTAGACCCTGATTGGTTAGAGACACTCCTTCAAACCCCCTAGGAAGCCTCCTCCCTGGGCGGGGCATCTCTTGTCACCTCCGGATTCCCTTGTCCCTAAGGGCTTATGGCCCTGGCGGCCGCCTCGACGGCACCTCTGTCGGAAGAAGGAGAAGTGACCTCCGGCCTCCAGGCTCTGGCCGTGGAGGATACCGGAGGCCCCTCTGCCTCCGCCAGCAAGGCTGAGGACGAGGGGGAGGAAGGCCGGGAGGAGGCCGAACGGGGGGGATGTGGGGCAGAGGAGGTGCCAGGAGAAGCCCCGAGCGCTGCTGGGGAGGAGGCAGCGGAGGGAGAAGCCGAGGACTGGTGCGTGCCCTGCAGCGACGATGAGGTGGAGATGCCAGCGGATGGGCAGGCCTGGATGCCCCCGCCCTCTGAAATCCAGCGGCTCTATGAACTGCTGGCTGCCCATGGCACCTTGGAGCTACAAGCCGAGATCCTGCCCCGTCGGCCACCCACTCCCGAGGCCCAGAGCGAAGAGGAGAGATCAGATGAAGAGCCGGAAGCTAAAGAGGAAGAGGAGGAAAAGTGAGGGCGGGCTCATCACCTTCATACTCCATCCCTGTACTCTGCATCCCAGTGCAGGGACAGGGGTGGGAAATGGGGGGTGGGAGCAGATGGTGGGATGGGCAGGCCTGTCTGGGGGCTCTGGGAGGAAGACCACCACTCACACTCTCTCTCTGCCTCTGCCAGACCACACATGCCCACGGAATTTGACTTTGATGATGAACCGATGATACCCAAGGACGCCCTGATTGACCGGAGACGCACGCCAGGTACACACAGCATGGCTCCCTTCCAGAAGTCTTTGCTTGGTGCCTCAGGTGCCACCCTGCAGGGGTGGGCCCACAACCCACGGCACAACAACACTTCACAGATAGCTCTGTTGCCGGTTCCTCCCCTTCCTCACTTGCCGGAACCACAGCCCTGTTCTCTGATCTGGTTCTCATCCCTAGTGTCTGTCCTTGCAGTCATTCCTGATCTGTTACCCAGACCCTTGAGCCAGCAGCAGGTGCCATGAGCTGGCTCTGCCTCCCCCACGTTACCAACCCCACCTGCTGCCACCCCATTGACGCACCTTCCTCCAATCCACCATCCCGCCTGGGCCAGCGCACGAGCTGCTAACCGGTCTCCTTGCTTCCAGTCTCAGCCATCAAACGAGCCTTTAAACACCAGTCATGCCTCTGCTGGGAAGGAAGTCTTCAGGCCCCCTTCCCTCTCCATTGGCCGTCTCTGGGACTTGGTCCTGCCCCCTCGCTGGCAGGCACTGCTCCCGTCTTAGCCTTCCTACAGTTCCAGAGGTTTCCCTGCCCACTCCTTATCTCAGAACTTCCGGGCAGAGGGAGGGCTGCCTCCTTCAATCCCTTTCGCATTTCTTACCTGCCCCTTGTTATCCAGGGAGTTCAGCCCGCAGCCAGAAGCGGGAGGCCCGCCTGGACAAGGTCCTCTCAGACATGAAGCGACACAAGAAGCTAGAGGAACAGATCCTTCGCACTGGGAGGGACCTCTTCAGCCTGGACTCGGAGGACCCCAGCCCTGCCAGCCCCCCAGTTCGGGCCTCGGCCAGCAGCCTCTTCCCCCGGCAGCGGAAATACTGACTGCTGACCACTGGAGCCTAGATGATCCCGCGGGGAGTGGGGTGCCGGGAAGGCCCACACAGCTCCTTGCAGAAGAGAGGGCATGTGCTGTTTTGTTGTTGAACATGGACTCTAGGGGCCTGAGTTAAAATAAAAGATGCAGTGCTCCTGTCTCCTTGAGACAGCTGAAGCGGAGAGGCCACATGGAAAATTAAAGCCAGATGGAGCTGAAGCTAACCGAGCACCCGCCATTCAGCCTGCCCTCTGACCCAGCAAGGTGGTCTCCTTGAGCTGGTTGAGGCAGAAGGTCCCCAGCTCAGCTTGGCCGCGAGGTTCAGTGTGTGGGCTGCTGGGCCGAGAAGGCCTTTGGGCTTTAAGTCAGGCCCCGCCCTGGGCCCGCCCCCGGCGGCCGGGAAGTGATCCCTGGGGTTGGGCAAGGGAGTTTCCCGGACCAAGGCTGGCCCCGTGTGGCGTGTATAGTAGACAGGAACACAGCACTGTGAAGTGAGTACAGGGTCCTGGCCCCGAAGACCCCGGCGTATTGGTGAGTCTGTGTCCCCTTGAGGCAGGCTTCCTGGGTCCTGCTTCTGCTGTGGCAGGTGTAAAGGGGAAGAGAGGTGGGTGTGCGCTCTGCTTTCTGTGCTGGCGTTCTGTGGCTTTTACAGCAACAGTAGATGAAGTGATAGATGGCTGCCTCGCAGCCCCGGGGCCGCTCTCCCTTGCGGGGCATCCACTCCAACTCCCAGCCAGGCTGGTGCTTGCCTACTCTCCCACCTGCTCCACCCAGGGACCGCAACTCAGGTCTGTCCTCTTGGGCACTTCCTCAGAGCCCTCAGCTCTGCCAGAAGCTGTACCTGTTGCCAGGCTGTGCCTGCTGTGGGCCTTGGTATTCGCAGAAGTCACTCAGAGTGAACTTGAGTTTGCCCGACATGGTTCATCTCTGGGGCGGTGGGGGTAGAATTGAGGGGAGGGAGTCTTGAAAAAATAGGAAGCTGGGGTGGGCGTTTGGCGTGGCTGTTTCAAGCCACAGGTTTTGATGCCTGCATGTCATACCTGAATGTTTTGTCGTCGGATCCTGGCCCTACTCCTAAGGCCGGCTTTCTGCTGGTAATGCTGTCACCTTGGGCCTTTGCGGGCGTTTAGGGAGTGGCCCAGTGGGTCGGTGTACACTCTGTTTCTCTCTGTCTTTGCCTCTCAAATAAATAAAAGGAACAATGTATATAAAGGTTTATTTATTTTACTTAAAAGTTAGGTTGTGGAGAAAGAGATCTTAGTTGGTTCACGATGGCCAGATTGCCCCAACAGCTAGAGCTGGGCAAATCCAAAGCTAGGAGTCAGGAGCTTCTGGGTCTCCTATGTGAATAGCAGGGGCCCAAGGATTTGGGCCATGTTCAGCTGCTTTCCCAGGTACATTAGCAGGGAGCTGGATAACAAGTAGATCAGCCAGGACTGTAACAGGCACTCATATGAGATGCTGGCACTGCACGAAGAGGATTAGCCTGTTACCTCACCAGCCCCAGGACAAAGACTTTTTCTTTTTTTTTTTGGAAAGTCAGTTATACAGAGAGGAAGATCTTCCATCCGTTGATGTACTCCCCAAGTGGCTGCAATGGCTGGAGCTGTGCCAATCTGAAACCAGGAGCTTCTTCCGGGTCTGTCATGCGGGTGTAGGGTCCCAAGCCTTTGGGCTGTCCTGGACTGCCTTCCCAAGCCGCAAGCAGTGAGCTGGATGGGAAGCGGGGCTGCTGGGGTTAGAATAGGTGCCCATATGGGATCCTGGCACATGTAAGGCAAGGACTTGTGCTGCTAGGCTATGGTGCCTGGGCCCCAGTGACATTTTAAAAAAGGAAAACCAGGAAGTTCGCTTGTGAGCCTGTGTTGTGGGAAGTTAGAGCTGTCATTCTGGAGTGAGCTGTTGGAAAAGGGATATGAAAGATGGCCCCTGGCTTTAAGAAAATGGTTTTTCAAGATATACCAACTTCTTTGTAAAGCAGAGTATTAGACTTCCCCCATCTGCAGGTTCACTCCCATGTAGCCCAATATCCAAGTTTCAGCCAGGCTGAAACCAGCCAACTCTACCTGGTCTCTATGGGTGACAGGAGCCCAAGTCCATGTGCCATCTTCCAGCTGCCTTCCCAGGAGGCATTGGCAGGAAGCTGGATGGGGGACATACCATGATGTGCACTGCCAGCCACGTAAGCAGCAGCGTGACTCACTAAGCTACAGCCTTGTCCCCCTGTACCACCACACTCCCGTCCTGGTGGACCCCTGGGTGAGGAAGGTAAGGCTGGCTATCACTGGTCAGATTCCTTGAGAACCTGTGTGGCATGCCCTGGGGTGGGGTGGGTGACCTGGAGCCATTCGGAGGACTGAGGTGGCTGGGTGCTCAGCCACCTCCCTGCATGTACCCTATCTCTAGGGGGCACAGAGGCCTGGATTGTGAGCACTGACCTGTGGCATAGTTTCCTGGGCAATCCCCTGCCCTTCCCAGGCCTTTCAGCTCCAGGATTATTGCTGGCTGGGCAGAATTCTGCAACCATGATGCCTGGGGTGGAGTGGGGGCACACTGACTCCACCCTCAGATCTGCCAGTGAGTGGGTGAAAGGCCCTGGGCAGGGAGCTGCCATGGTGGCATGTGGTTGAAGCCACTGCTCATGTCCGCATCCCACTTCAGAATGCCAGTGGAGTCATGGCTGCTGAGCTTCCAATCCAGCTTCTTGCTGATGTGCCTGGGGAGACAGTGGGAAAGGCTTAGCTGCTTGGGCCCCTGCCACGCATGTGGGAGACCAGAATGGAGGTTGTCACAGACCTTGCTGTGGTGGCTATTTGAGAAGGGAACCAGCAGATGGAAGAGTGTGTGTGTGTGTCTTTCCCTGTCAGTCTGCCTCAAATAATAATAATTTTTATTGAAAGGCAGAGTTAGAGGAAAGAGATCTGTTCACTGGTTTACTCCCCAAAAGGTCACTTCCCAAATGACAATGGCCAGAGCTGAGACGATCAGGAGCCAGGAGCTTCTTCCAGATCTGCCATGGGGATACAGGGGTCCAAGGACTCGAAGCATCCTCTGCTGCTTGCCTAGGCCATAAGTAAAGAGCAGCTGGGATTGAAGCAGTGCCCATGCGGGATGCCAGTACCACAGGCAGAGGCCTGACCACCATGTCATGGCACAGGCCCAGTCAATCTGCCTTTCTGATAACCTCAGTGCCTGGCAGCGGTGAAGTTTAGAGCAGGTAAGAACTGTTATCTGCGGGACTTGCCTACAAGTCTCAGAGTCTGTCTGTCCTGGGAACTTTGACTCCATGGTCCAGGGCGAGGCCTGGGAAACAGCAGGAGTAAGAATCTCAGCCAAATCCTATGCTGACACAAGTTTAGTGAAAGGGACCTAGGAGCTAGCCTTTGGCAGTGTGATTGGAACATTCCTAGGGCCCTGTGCAACCTGTATGGGAAAAGCTGGCTTCAAATTTCAGCTCCACTTGAAATTGCATCTTCCTGCTGGTGCCTACGTGAGAAGGAGCAGGCTATGGCTCATGTACTGGATCCCTGCACACTTAGGAGACCTGGATTAACTTCCCGGTTCTTGGCGTGGGCCTGGCCCTGGCCTCTCTGTGGTGTACATTTGGGGAACCAGCAGATCTCTCTGTCTTTGAAATAAGTTAAAAAAAATTTTTAAAAAGACATCTAAAGTGAAAGCTTTGCAGGCTGGGTCACTTTTTTTTTTTAATTGGAAGATCAGATAGACAGTAAGATTTTCCATCTGATGATTCACTTCCCAAGTGACCGCAACAGCCAGTGCTGCGCTGATTTGGAGCCAGGAGCTTCCTCCAGGTCTCCCACGTGGGTGCAGGGTCCCAAGGCTGCCCTCAACTGTCTTCCCAGGCCACAAGCAGGGAACTGGGTGGGAAGCCGGGCTGCCAGGATTAGAATCGGTGCCCATATGGGATCCCAGCGCATTGAAGGCAAGGACTTTAGCCACTAGGCCTCCATGCCGGGCCCAGGCTGAGTCACTTCTAGTCTGGGCACTCCTCACTGTCAATGATTAACATGAATTGGCTGCATGCAGGAGGGGCAGGGTCCTGGGCTGGCAGGATGGCCCCTTTCTAAGCTCCCACGCCCATCCTTCCCCTCCCCCAACAAAGGCATAACTGGTAGTAACTCCGAGATGATTTTCTTAGAAGATTCCTGGGGCCAGTCTTGTGGTGCTGCAAGTTAGGCATCTGTCTGCTGTCTGGCATCCTTTTATTTTAGCAAGGTGGAGTAGCTGGCCCTAGAACCAGCACTTTTGATATAGGATAAGCGCTTCCTAGGCTCCAGCTTAATCCACTACAACACATGTGCCCCAGTAAGTAATTAAAAAAAAATTAACCAAAGTGTTGCTAGGGCTGACATCATGGTAGAGTGGGCATCCTATATGGTTTGAGTCTTGGCTGCTCCATTTCCCTCCAGCTTCCTGCTGATGTGCCTGGGAATGTAGCAGAAGATGGTCCAAGTGCTAGGACCCCAGCACCCATGAGGGAGGCCTGGATGGAGTTCCAGGTGTCAGCCAGCCCAAACCTGGATGTTGGGACTATGAGCCTACAGAAGGAAGATTCTCATTTTCTGTTACTCTGCCTTTAAAATTAATGAACAAAAGGCACACGTCCCTGAAATTTTGCTGTCTGGAAGATTGATAGGCTGTGACTTCTCAGTTTCCCTGAAGTAGGGCGTGATTTTTGATAAACTAGGAAGCTGCTGGTGATAACAGGTTCTCTCCGGGCCTGTGGGATGACTCACTTGGTAAACACAGACCAGAATGTTCATCTTAACATCAGCGAAGGAATACTCCACAGGGACTCCTGTTTCACAACCTCAGGTTGAGTGGGGGATTCTGAAATCACTGCTGGGTCACCAGCCACTTCCCTCTCTCCCAGCTTCATGGCTGGCTGGACCCAGGGCCCAGGGGTGGGGCTCAGTGGCCCTCTGGGACCTAAGGGGAGGGCGCTGCCCACCGAGGACCCCCAACTGTGCACTTGCTCTGTACAGGGAGTGGTCCAGAGGGGAAGACAGGGAGTCCTGTGAGAGGCCCTTGATCCTGCTGGCGGATGTAGGACCTGGGAAGCACTTCTGGGAGTTGAAGTACCTTTGTATATCAGGATCAGCTTAAAAAAGGAAAAAAAGTTTATTTGAATCTCCTTGAAAGGCAGAGTGGCAGAGAGAGCTCCCATCTACTGGGCCACTCCCCACCTGCCCTCCACGGCTAGTGTAAGGCCAGGAACACCCTGCAGGTCTCCCATGCAAGTCACAGGGGTCCAAAGCCCTTGAACCATCATCTGCTGCCTCCCAGCAGCAGGAAGTTGGACATGATGCACAGCAGCCAGGACCCCTCCAACCAGCAGGATGTGGTTGTGACGAGTGGCAGCTTAGCTCACTGAACCACCATGCCCCACCCCAGTGGAAGAGCTTTTAAAAAACAGTTAAGCTTTTATCCAAGCTTCAGACTGCTCATATCAACTCCCCAGAGATGTGGCTTTAGAAGGTCCCCAGGTGCCTTTAACGAACAGCCTGGCCTGAGGGTGGTTTCCTTCCACCTGAGCTGCTCTCACCAAGTCACTGGGGATCTGGGTTAGCTCTGGGCTGGGGCCCCTGACTCTGTAGCACCAACAGGCCCCTGTGTGGTCTACGTGCAGGTGCTCATACAGCTCTCTGCGGCCCATGGGGCTGGCTTGGGACATCTGCTGTTTAAGAGCCACCATATCGGGCCTGGCGGCATGGCCTAGCAGTTAAAGTCCTCGCCTTGAACCTGCCGGGATCCCATATGGGCACAAGTTCTAATCCCAGAAGCTCCACTTCCCATCCAGCTCCCTGCTTGTGGCCTGGGAAAGCAGTCAAGGACGGCCCAATACTTTGAGATCCTGCACCCCTGTGGGAGACCTGGAGGACGTTCCTGGCTCCTGGCTTTGGATTGGCACAGCACTGGCCTTTGCGCTCAATTGGGGAGTGAATCATCGGACAGGAGATCTTCCTCTCTGTCTCTCCTCCTCTCTGTATATCTGACTTTGTAATAAAAATAAATAAATCTTAAAAAAAAAAAGAGCCACCGTATCAACCACCCGCAGTTGACCCTGATGCTGATCTGTAGTGACTCATGGCTTGGTTATTTCATTATTTATTTATTTGAAAGGCAATTCTAGAGAAAGGGAGAGGGTGGAGAAAGAGCTTTACTCCCCAAATAGCCACGACA